TATATATATACATATGTATGTATATGTGTGTGTATGCGTTTATATATATTATTTTGTTATCAGTATTATTATTATTATTGCTGTTATTATTGTTGTTATTATTATTATTATTATTACTATTATTATTATTACTACTACTACTACTACTACTATTACTATTACTATTACTATTATTATTATTATTATTATTTATTTATTATATTATTATTTATTATTGGTAATTATGTCTTAAAGTTTGTTAACAAACTTATTTTGACCTCCTACCGCACACTTCTTTTTCTTCTTTTTTTTAAATGTAATTTTAATTGAAATATTTATCATTGATTAATTTATATTTTATGTGTGTGTGGTAAAAAACAATAAAACAGAGTATCATGATGACAACCAATTCTGTGACCACCTTCCTTTTTAGTGCAGGTGACAACCAATTCTGTTACCATCCTCCTAAGCGTGCAGGTGACAGCCCACACTGCAATAATTATACTGCAGAGGCGACATTATCTACTGAACACCAATAATATCAACATAATCAATAAAGCTAATTCATGGAAATTGCATATATCAAATGCAAATAAAGGCAAGGCAACTTACTTTTGTCCATGACAGCATGTGTGCTAATGAAACAGGCTTTCTAAAGATGCCTTTCTTGTGTTTGTTAAGATTTTCAACTGCATATTTCTCAAGTTCTGTTTCGGAAGCTGTTGGTTTCTTAGCTATCACCAGTGAGGCACTGGTTTGCATGTTTGATGGAATTGTGCCATGCTTCTGCTACAAGAAAAATAACAACAAATGTTAAATTAAATTTAAATCAACTTTTAAAAATTAAAATTCAGTCTTGAAATTATCAAGATGCATAAATCTACCTAACGAGCCAATAAAAGGGGTAGCATTTTGTTTGGTAAAGCTTACCTGGTAATACATATTTGAAGCAAGTGGGGTAGTATTTCCATTGGTAAGACTTACCTTGGAATTCATTAGCAATGGTAACAGACATAACATGGATACAAGGTTCAATGGTACAAAGGTCCATAAACAAGATAATAGATCAGATGTTCATAATACAGAATAATAATAATGTAAACAACTACATTATCAATACACAA